CCCCAAAACCCCAAAACCCCAAAACCCCGTAAGCTTCAAATAGAGGATCAAATGAAGATTATAAAATTAGTAATAAGAATTCTTGCTGAAAATTATTAGAAATAATTAATATATTGTTTTATTACAATTGAAATTATATTTTGAAATTCTCTTGCTTATCACAGTTAATAAATTTATTTAATGAATCTGTCATTTACACATTTTTACCTCTCTATCAATTATTATTCTTTCTTGTTTGGCATTGTATATAGCGTTGAAAGGTTTCTCTATCTAATTGCAGTAGTCTGAAACTTATTTCTTAACATCTGAGAATGAATCAATCTCAAAATATACTGGTTGAATGGAATTCAAAGGATAACTCATGTGATCTTTGCAAATAACAAAAGGATTGAAAGGTAGAATCTAAGGTTTATCGCTCACACAGTATTCTAATTCATGAACACTTCCCATTATTCCTGCTCCATAAGCTTTTGATTAACCTTTTTCTCTGCACATTCCGAATTCTATTGTATAAAAATAGATTGCTGCTAGCTTTTCTAGTTCTGTGTCGTTCACACCGAGTGAGGCCAGTCCTATTTATTAGGAAAAATCAGAAAAATCTTTGGTTGCAAACATAGGTACATGACCTAGTAGCTCATGAATAAGATCAGGTTCATAACTATATAGCGGTACACTATGATGCCTTATGTGCTGAGTACAGTGAAATACTTTGAAGGCTAGTCCATTTAAGAATTCTCTCGGTGTTATCATACCAGCGACTGGTTTAAGTCTCCATCCAGTCTATTCCGTTAAATACATTGAGACTTCATTAAACTATGGAATTTTCTCATCGAAATTTTAGAATTCTTTTTTAAACTGATCAATGGCACAATTAAATTCTTCACAAGCAAACTTCTTGTAAAGTTTAGAAAGACGGTTAAAGCAATAATTCCAAACATAATTATCCTTTTTAGTATATTGAATTATTGGAAGACTCCTACTTTCGTTAATTTTGTAATCATAAGCTGCTTATGCGATTTATTTTCTTCTTTTTTAATATTACTAATCCTTAAAGTACAATAATTCGACTCTTTAGCTATCACTTTCAGTCTGAATAACTGACTTTCCAATTTCATTCAAATCCTTCAATTATTATGGGAACCATGGTACTTCAGGCAATTTTAGCAATTTCACCTACTAACATATTTTTTATACTTATTGAATCATTTTCTATATTTTTTGTTCTTACACTCCATCCTTAAAATAGAGTTAAAGGTCAATCATTTATTTATTTTTACGAGCTGGGCATGACTAAAACTATATGCTTGTGATATCAACTTTGAATTGCTTAAAGATACTCTAAATCTCAATCAAGCTTTCCTAGTAGTCTTAAATTTGAATTTACATTGATGATGCCATTTCTTTTTAATTCATATTTGAACCCTGGATAATCATCTCTAGAGATTTATCTATATCTGTCTTTTCTGATAAATTCATTGTTGAAAAGTTTGCAATTGGAGAGGATTGAATCATTACTTGACTATTTAATTTTTTTATTGACCTTTTTCTTATCATAGTCCCTTTAAAAATTCTGTTATACATACTGAGTGTCTTGGACATCAAGTTTGAATTAATCATTGGTTTATTTAATTTGCTGAAAAATATATTAAATTATCTTTTCAAAGTTCATTTAAATCTAGCTACTTGGGGTTTTGGGGTTTTGGGGTTTTG